ACTCACTGCATGAGCTCTTAACTAAGCACCTCTCAGGCATTGGTACGGATCCCAGCTCAGGTCCCTCAGTTGCGCACCTATCTCAGTTATCCCTATCATTCTGAACACAGCATGACAGACTAATACTACAAGACGGAATGAAGAGATAGCGTATCGTACTATGACTCTGATAAGTTTATATCATTGTTTATAGCACTTCTCAATGAGTGAAAGCTTCGTCTCATAGACGGGCTCACACCTAGAGAGGAGCTTACGGAAGATGGAGTCTGGACTGTATATCGGGACTATCAATCGCAAGAAAACCCGGGGTGTCCGCAAAGTCCGTCAAACCTGAAGAAGCAGAAGCAGTCACATACATAGGCCAGACTTGTTCTCCATAGACGAGAGATTTCATCGTGTACTGGCATTCTAGGGATCGAAAAAGAGGAAAGAATCAAATCTTTGTACTAGCAAAGACAGGGAGATGACATGACCTGAGCAACTGCATCTGTCTGTGCGCAGGCAAATCGGCACAAGCGTCAGGACCTTTCTCACAAGGCCTTGCGTATTGTCAAACCTCAAGGACCCAAGCGTCCGGTAACGCCTTGCAGAATAGCCATTTAAATGCTATGTGTTGCAGACCATGGCGATCCAAGGAAGGATGATGATATTAATATAGGTTGAGTACTCAAGAATAGGAGGATTCCGACGAGCAACCTGGTTTACAACAAGCGGCAGCTCGCTAAATAGAAGTGTCGAGGAGCTGGGAATTCCAGGGAGGAAACCAAGGAGGAAGGATATATGAAGACTCTGACTAGCATGATCAGTCTGGGGCACAGTACGTAAGAACTACTCAGGAATCATCCTGGTATCGCCATGACCAAAGGCTCTGAAGTCTCCGCATGCGATTGCGGCAATCATGTTTGAATAACCCTGCCGCTGCGACTTGAAGATGCCTTTCATCGAGTAGGCGCCACGCAATAAATAGTGCACCTCTTAGACGCACTGCAGTAAATTGGCTCCAGGATTGTGCTTCAAATGGAGCAATCGAGAACAAACTAGTTTAGAGGAAGTATATTTGGATGTCAGCGTACAAGGCAACTCTCATTCCGACTCTCAAATTACAACTTAGGGCCCATGGTATCGTGTACAAGTCCACAGAGGTCTCTATATTTTATCCCCTTTTACTCCATTGGGTCCATAACGAGCCCACTTAGTGAGCGAAAAGCAACGCTGTTTAGGGACCAATCCCAATCCATAAAAGGAGTGTTGCAATTGCAAGCTCCCTGCTGGGCGAATCGGCCCAGTTCCTTTCGGTGAAAAGGAATCAAATCCCTGCCATAAAATCATATTGCTTTTTCGTAGAGTCACAATCGCGATTAATAATGTTATTATTGTTGTTGTCTTTTTTTGAGGGCAAGTATTGTCCGGGACTAACGGCATCGGTGTTTGCTTTGCTTTGGGGATGGATAGCAAACCCCGACGGCCATCGCGGAAATCGTCACTCTCTACGGAGTAGCGCGCAGAAAGAAAGGATCATCGAAATTCTATCACGGATTTGGACGGTCTAATCTCGGATCCAGACTGACGAGATGTCGGATCAGATTACTTGCCGTCTAGACTACTGGTTTGATGGTTTCCCAGTTGCTTGTATCTGTAGTCCGTACGAAGTGTCCATTTTCAGTAAACAGCCGAGCTCCTATGGTACATCAGTCTGCAGTAGGTACGTATTATAAGTCTCAAACCGTGAAGAGATGATGTCCTTTGGGACTGCTTTCTACTTTGATACAGACAGCCGCTTCAATAATGATGACCCTTCGCAGCAACCCTATGACTTGAACAATGAATGAATACTCCTGACCTGTTTGACGGTCACACTACTTTGTTGACGGATTGGTATGATGGCAGATGATAAGATAAAAGCTTGCTTATCGATAAGCATGCAGATCATGTGTCATCACGTGCGGGGAAACTGTCACACTTCACAACTGAGATGGCATCAACAATCGCTTGGTGCATCCCCATGAGCTCTATTTCTTCACCTGGGGACAATTGCTACAGCTMAGCTTCGACGCTACAAGGGAGAAACGCTATAGCTGTCCGGTGGTTCCTTCTTTGTGATCCCACTTCGGACTGCGGGGTTCGGTTCTCTGTTGACTTGTCCACTGCGTTTCTTTCAGCATATCAACTCTTCGAGCTACCTACACCTATCAAATAGCTTTCCCACCCATCGGAAGCATCAAACTTTTTACCACAATGTCACCTCCACTTGTACCCCTAGCAGAGATTCCAACTGTCTCGCTGTTGTACAAACTGGGTCGTCTAGTTCCCTCCTCTGCACCACTTGCCAAGCCGTCGAATTCATTCAATAATATCATCTCACTCATTCGAAACGACATCACGAAACTGGAGAACGTCGACTGCATTGTCAATGCGGCCAATGAATCGCTTCTTGGAGGGGGCGGTGTGGACGGAGCTATCCACCGCGCTGCAGGACCAGACCTGCTGAGGGAATGTCGGACCCTGAAGGGTTGCAGGACTGGCGATGCCAAAATAACATCTGCATATGAGCTTCCATGCAAGAAGGTTATTCATACCGTTGGACCAATCTACCATTTTGAGTTGCCAAAGGGCGACGACAGACCTGAGATGTTACTGAGGAGCTGCTACCGTCGAAGCTTGGAGCTAGCTGTCGAAAATGACTTGAAGAGCATTGCTTTCGCTGCGATAAGCACCGGTGTCTATGGATATCCAAGCAACGAGGGTGCCTTTGCGGTTCTTGATGAGGTTCGGAAGTTTTTGGAGGGTCCTGGCAATATCGAGAAGCTGGAAAGGATCATATTCTGCAACTTCGAGCGAAAGGATGAAGCGGCCTACGAGAAAGCCATTCCGTGAGCGACATCGATCGAGTTCCTTACATTTTTGGTGGTCCGAAACTGATTGTTTATAGCTTGATCTTTCCCCCAGTTGAGCAAGACCTTCCTCGCCATAGTACCCATTCCGAAGTCCTGGCAGAGACGACGGCTGAATCTTCGCCGACGCCAGAGCTTCTCGCAGCTAAACTCCCTGACCCGCCCACCGGAGACCCTGCCCTGGAAGGCCAACCCGAAAATAAAAAGCAAAAACTCAATGCGGACGCGATCAAACCAAGTGTCGACGCTAAGACTGAAGGCGTCCAGTCCAAGACCGACGATAAAAGTGAGGATGATTGGGAGGAAGTCGACAAGTCGGAGGGCGGACCGGCGGAAAGGCTTGACGATGAACCTGTCGAGATCGAAAGGGCTCCTTCTGCAGCAGACGTACAGAGTGTCCAATCCAGTGGTATCATCGAGAAGGATGCCTCTCACCCGGTGGAAAACTATCTAGCAAAGGACTGGTAGTCTGCGCGTGGCAGGTTGATCAGAGAGGAAACTCAGGGCAATTTAATACGACTTGATGCAGCTACGATGATCTGAATTGGACATGATGGCGTTGCATGTGTTTCTGGCACGGATGGATGGCGTTCTTCACTTCCTAGTTAATTGATTCATCAAAACTTTTGAAGCTTTTCTTCGGGACGTAAAATGCAAACGCTGCAAACAAGCTTCTAGACCCGTCACGCTACCGATATCTTTATCAATCGCATGCGACAGTCGGGATATTTCCTACAAACCGAGAATTTCCTATTCTTACTTCTAGATTAATATATATCTTTCGTAATCTGGCTCGCTCTTGAGCTCTCTCTTTTTACTCATATCCGACCCAGCCGATCATCTCAATTGAGGCTACATGCACCGATAACATTCTGCACAAGCACACCAACCACAAACATGCCTCCACCTCAGCCCACACCAGAGGGGCCACCTACAGGCAAAACGACCTCAAGATTCAGAGTCCTCGCACCAGAAATGGCCAAAATACGATCATCCAAACCGCCTGTCCCGCCGACCACACCATCCTCCACCTCCGCACCATCCAGCGCCGCCGCAAATCCCTCGCCCTCACTCCCCCAAACACGAACACCAACACCAACGCAATCATCACCTCGTCCCAACCGACCGTCTTTCTCATCACTCTTCCGCCAACGCTACGCGACTCTCCCAACACCCATCCGCCGAACCTTCCGCGTCCTCCGCATACTAGCACCCCTCGTCCCAATCGGGATCTTCTTCTCCGAACATGTCCTCCAGGTTATGTGGGTGCGGGGGCCGTCAATGACGCCCTTCCTGAACGAGGACTACGAAGCTATGCATACGAAGAGCGATATGGTGCTGGTGAATATGTGGCCGTTCGGCGGGGCGGGGTGGCCCTGGGAGCGGAAACGGAGGCTGGAAAGGGGGATGGTTGTTACGTTTCGGTGGGTGGTTTGCTCTATTTCTATTTCTACTTCTGTTTATGCGATTGCGATCAATGGAAAGGCATATGCTGACTGGTATGGGTGGTAATAGGTCGCCTGCTAATCCTAAACATACCGCCATCAAGCGGGTTATCGGCCTCCCCGGTGATCGGATCACGACTCGTGAACCGTGCATGAAGGCGTCGCAGATTGTGCCGTTCAATCATGTCTGGTTGGAGGGTGATGCGGAGGATCCGAAGAAGTCGCTTGATAGTAATACGTACGGGCCTGTGAGCATTAGTCTTATCACTGGGCGAGTGATTGCTGTGTTAAGGCCGCAGTTTAGGTGGCTCAACTGGCGAGATTGGGAGAAGGGGGTTGTTGAGGGTGATGGAGATCATAGGTTTGGGGAGAATTATCGTCAAGATGTTCGGCAACGGGTGTTGAAGGAGGCTGTCAAGTTGGAAAGACCTCAAATAGAATAGGTAAGGTCTTATGCCTCGGTTCCTTGCAAATATGTTTTCTAGATGCACTGTATATAGGGTTGTGTATTTGTATTGATATTAGAGTGTAAGATACATGAATGTGATCATGAACAATGATATGCCAAGGGATTCAAACGACACAGCCTGGCTCAAGCAGCCCCAACGGACTATCTCCGGCGTCCTCGCCAGCGCCGGAAACGAGAAAGCCGAATCAATTATCTCTATGGTTTGATTAGGCGGATGTCTTCCGGCTTCTCCTCCTGCAATCGATCTATCTCAGATGAAATACTCATAACCCAACGATCCCTCTCTATCCGGCTCCGTGCCTTGAATACCACCGTCCGTCCAGGGACGCCGAGCGTAGACACGTGCTTGAGCGTCTGCTTCGTTTTCCCTCTCTTGCCGAGTTCCTGTGCCCTAAAATAATTTTTTTGTAGAGGCTGCCAGACGACGAACGTGATAGCTGTATCCTCGTCACAGGTGGTATAGACATCGGATGAAAGATAGACGCGAGGCAAGGCATGGTGTCCAGGATGGTTGCTGTCGAAAGTCCGGTTTGCGTAGAGTAGATCTGACTCGGTCATTAGACCCGAGTAGATGTAGCAGTCTTCCAGGTCCAATGTGGTTTCGAGACTCTGATGAATATGAGGAATCTCCACGCCAGTACGCTTCCGCAACGAGCTACGGAAGATCAGAAGCTTCCCGGCAGCCAAAATGACATCGCACCTCTTGAAGGTAGAGTGGCGGCGAGGTTTTCGAAAGAGCTGACCGGACATCTGCATTCTTACGGTCAGTATGTGGTTCAATTGTACTAGCTTCGCACGGCGTACCTTTATTGTCCGGCAACCCGATAGAGTACATATGTTGTGCAACAAGGGTGATGCTTCCGACTTCTTTGTTTCCCATTCCTGGGAGAACTGTCCTACCACGGACTCAATTCCTTCATCGATGCCCAAGATGGTTAGATTGCGCTGCCGAATCGCCTTGAGCTCGACCGAGTCGGCCGCAACGCGGGCTCTCCAATATTTGACCAGTGCGTCCATTCTCTTCATCCATTCGTTCCTGGTGATCATGTCATATGCTTGCAATCGAACAACAAGATCATTGTCAAGTACCATTTCAAAAGTTCGATCATCGTCAAATTGCTTTGTTGCACCATCATCCCGATGGGTGTCTTGCGTCTCAGGGTTGAATTCGACAGCGGGACCTTCGCGAATGTTTGGATCGGCAGGGGAGCTGCCACGCCACACTTGACGTACCTCCCGAACTTTACAAAGATCGATGAAGCCATCCGCATGGGTGAGATTGTGCATGGACCTTTGTGCATGCGCATAGGCGTTCTGATCATGTTCCTTCAGGTGGGCCTCATTCCCGCTAGACATCCATGTGATCTCACCGTTATGAATTGGAAAGGGATCAACGTCGTATGAGAGGGGCATCTCGTTCAATATCTGCTGCGCTGAGGGTATGCCAGCCTCGTCCGAGCAGAGCTTGGGGGGAGTAGGAGGCAGAGCTTTCGCTGGTCTGCAGAACAAAAGGTAATGATCCTGTGTGAAAAAATAGAGACGTTTAAAGAACATCTTGTTCATCCGCTGATGCACACCTCTCTGAGATGTCAAACGGACCAGGAAGCCTTCCACGGGTTGCGGCTCTTCAAGTTTCTCATCACCATTCTTGACGAATGTCTGATAGTGTTGCCTTGGTCGCAGCTGAAGCTGGTGGGTGGTTTGCATTGCAAGAGATCCGTACATCTTCTCTTCGCCCAGGCCAACCACCCACTCCAGTCTGTCGTAGCGCTTCCAGGCCAAGCCCATCTTCTCGGTTTTTGACCACTCGCGTAGCACTTCTGCCCATTCGGTGCGGTTTTCTAGCAGGTCCATACAACCTCGAATGATAGCTGCAGCAACATCGGTTACGCGACCTTTCGATTGACCGTGTGTTCCATCGCTATTGTCCCCGTCCCGAGTCTCCCACTTGGACTCCAACTGCTCAAAAGGATTTTGGAAGACAAGAGAAACGCCCAAGTCAGGAACATTAATGGACAATGAACTTGGACGGTGCCGCCCCAACACTTGATATATAAACGTGAACCACTCAGTGGCATGCACTGCGGATTTGGGCCGAATTATGTATATCTTTGTACCACGCTTGCAGGGTCTCCAAATCACAATGGACTTATCCAAGCAAGAGTATAGGTTTACCTTGGTATTCTTGCGATTCAAGGCAATTTCGTGGTACGGTTTGACCCTAGAATTTGACTTTGGTATCTCCGGAACGACGCGCGTCTTATACATCTGAAGCGCAACAGGTGATTCCACGTCGGAAGTTAGCCGACAGACGACAAGAAACTCCCTCCAACTCTCTGCAACCTTCGTTTCCAACCTCAGGCTATCATTTTCAGTGTAGTCATTCGGGAGCTCTTTCTGCACTGTCACCTCGACGCGAACAAGCATTCTCTCCGCTCGGATAATCTCGCCCTCACGCAGCTTGCGCCGTTGTCGACGATTCCCTGAGAGCACATCATAGGTGTAGGCTATACGGGACATTAGTCGTTGCTGTCTGTCCATGAGCTTGTCATCGAATTTGTAGCTTTTCACTTTCCCGCCGAGTGAAGTTATAGAATATCTATTCAGTTGAGGATCGACCATATCGTCTTCTCTTTCACTCTGCGGCTCCTGTCGCCCAAGGCTGGCAGAAGACAAGGCTTTGAGTTTCCCTTTCCCTTTAGAACGCAAACTAGGCCTTAGCAATGCCGTTGTAGAGCCAGATTCGCTAACGGGTGCCATGGGAGATGACTGACTGGAATCATCTTGGCTAGGGGTACTCAACGTGCGCCCGCTTTCTGCTTCAGTGGAGCGGTAATCTTGCTCAGCCGTTCCTGGTTTGCTTTCTCTAGCTGTATAATATGCTGTCGGTGCACCCTTTTTCTTCTTAGTTGATTCATGGTTCAGCTGCGGTTGGCCCTGTTCCTGAGACGAATCTAGGACAGATATACCCCCTGGGGGAGCTTCAGCCTCTGTCAAAGGATACGGTATGGACTGAAGGTCTCCAGGCTGCTCATCCGTCTCGCGACCATCACCTTCCTCTTCTGACCTGTCTTCAACCTCCACCTGAATCGTAGTATCAGCTAGTGAGGTATCCTGCTTTCGAGCAGATGATGGGGCTGCTTCTGGTTCCGACTGATCTGCGGCAGGAGTGGTTCTGTCTGCGGTGAACGTAACAGCTCTCGAAGTATAGTTCCGAAACTCGAGTCTGGTTTTGTACCAGTGCTTGCGGTGGTGCTGCAGCCAGCCCTCGGGAATTGGTCCGATGAAAAATCTCCTACTTGTCATGTGCAGGTGATAGTCGGAGGCGTATCGCTTGAAGCCGTCAGTCAGCTCCGAGGTATCTCTTACTTACAAGTTGCATCTTCCCTATATTGGCAGGATACTTACTAATCTTTCGGCCGTAAAGGACCCTGGCTCAAGCCCATGCTGGTGTTCTTGGAACACGCTTTGGGTTGTCTCCATGCTTCCAGCGCTGACATTCTGATCAGCAGCTCTCTGAGTACTCATCGGACTTCACCGCAACCCCCGTATTTAGCAGAAAAATTGCATGCAAACCATTGGTGAATTAGTCCACTATGTGTAATCGAGGCATTCTTCAAGGGATTAATATTCAGGAGTGGAGGACAATCTGCAACAGCAGGGAAACAGCTTCCTCAGGCACCAGAGGATCGTTGATGTCAAGGGCCATGATGTCATGGCGCACGTGCAGTTGCATCCTTTGCACCATTTGTTTGGTTTGTTGTGTTTTTACAGTTTGCAGTTATGCTCAGGGGTCAACCCCGCCCCGCCCATTGTGGCTTGCGTGTACTGCTACTGGCGGTGAGTGACAGCTCAGCTGTTGTTGATAGCTGGCACTTCCCCTCAATTTCCATCATCATTATTCATTTCTATCTTCTCTCTGGTTTTAATTGTATATTTTTGTGTTCAAATACATTCTTCACAATGGCTGCTGCTATTCCCCCTGGTGGTACTTGGTTCGATACTCTCAAGAGATCTTTCGCCGATGTTCCTGTTAATGAGAATGGCATTTCTACCACTGAGTTCCTCGAGGCAGCTGAGTCCTTGGTGACTCTGTTCGGTATGTGCCTACAAATACCTATGAGCTGTTGTGAAGGCTGCTTCTGACTCAATGACTGTTCTAGATCTCCTCGGTAGCAAGTGCTTTGCCCCCGTCAAGAGCGACCTCCTTGGGAACATTAAGGTATCATTCATTTTACATGTCCACTGTAACAATACTAACTGCACTATAGAAAGTTAGAGACAGGCAGCTGGCTGCCCCTGCTGAGTCTGAGACTCTCCAGGCACTTGTCGTGAACGAATTGAAGACTGGAAAGCACGTTGCCACTGAGGGATTGTTGTGGCTTGTCCGGTACGTTCTCCGCATGCACCAGCAGATGGACTTAAAATAACTCAAGCGTACGTCTGGCGAGAGACAATGAAACTAACACTTTATGTTCTCGACAGTGGCCTTGATTTCACCGCTCAAGCCCTCCGTCACAATCTCGACAAGGAGACTGAACTGTCGGTTTCCTTCCGCGAAGCCTACGGTAACACACTCAAGCCCCATCACTCGTTCGTTGTCAAGCCCATCTTCTCCGCCGCGATGTCTGCCACGCCCTACAGAAAGGATTTCTACGAGAAGCTCGGTAGCGACTCCGACAAGGTCAATGCTGCTTTGAAGCGGGAGGTTGAGGCTTTGGAGAAGATCGTCGCAATTCTGAACGCCTTCCTGAGTAGCAAGGAGGCGAAGTGGTAATCACATGCTGCAGGAGTACAGCATAGAAGTTTCTAGGCTTCTGCCACCGAACCGCTTTCACTGTATGTGCTACCAAGCGTTTAGGATTGTCAGTGTGTACATATATAGCATCTGCGAGATGATAAGCTGTGAACAAGCTTAATAGGATATAGCAGGCCAGGCAGCCATTTGCTTTGAAAGCAACCAAACCTTGGGTATATTTCAAGACATGCAGTATCAATATGCTCGAGCCTCTGTATTAAGCATTATAGATGAGGTTGCTGTTAGGTGTGAAGAGGCTCGCATGTATTAAGGGCACTGTTCTATAGAACTACCTAGTTGATAAGAGAAGAACTGGAAGCTATGAACCCACCCCACCAACTTCATCATCATACTTCGGCCTATCACCTGCAGCCTGTGCAAGCAAATGATATAAATTGTTTGCCGATTGGTCTTGAGAAAGAGAACTTGAACTCAGCTAGTCCTAGAGTAGATATAAATCGAGACAATTCGAGACTCACGAAATATCGATAGGTTGTTATTTCAGGAGAACGATTGCGAGTCAAGCAGAAAGAGACGATGTCACCCTGCGATCAAGATACTTGATAGTGACAATCCTTACACATGGACGGTGACTCAGTCTCAAACGCGACTAAGTCAGATTTGCGCCAGATCATCGATGATCGTTAACAACGGCTAAAGCATTAGGACATTCATCCCTGGCAACGATGATGCAGTCTCCCACGATTGTATTCGTAAATCTTCCCGTCTTCGCGTCGTGGTGCCAAGCACATAGCAAAATCCAACGTGAATACTCATGCCGATGTCGAAAAAGTCAGGACGCATGCATCAAATTCCTTTAAATGTCTGATAAAGACACAACGTCACAGACAGACCGCAGAAGATGGATGTGCGCTCGAGACGAATGTACATAACTTTCAATTTCTTATGAGGATCCACTTTGTCTAGAATTTAATGTCCGTTAAGCGACCTGACAAGTTGGCTTGACACGGACAGGATTGCCCTATCCAGAAAGTCTCAGTTGCTTCAAGCCTGTCACTGAGTCAGGCACTGAACGCCCGGTAGATGTTCTCGGCTGGCAGGTGAGTAACTTAGGAAGTGCTCCGTACCCAAGCTTCAAAGCCATCCGGTGAAAGTAGCTTATCAACTGACCAGGATAAACCCACGTGGCGTTGTTGAATCTGGACTGCTGCTACCAAGCTACAGGATCATACCTTGGCTTGTTCTAGGCTTGCAGAGAACGCATTTAGGTGAAGGAGCAATAGGGTTGTCCCGTGTTATGCTGGCTAATTGAGGCCAAATCGTAAGATACTGTGTTGATTTCGAATTTTGATTCTTCTGCCCTTCTGTACTAGCTGATCGACAACATGTAGGCGCTAGCCAGCGTGCTCTGAAACAAGCCGTGTCACCCCCCAAAGGCGTCGAGTCCAGAGTCTCGAGTCTGGAGTGAACATAATATCTACCAGCCTTGTACGATCTGTGAACACAGCATTGCTGATCGAAAGGTTGATTATCCATAGATTCAGGGGTACCCTTGTAATAAGCGTCGGGGTGAATTTCTAGAACACCAGCTCTCTCTGTGCAATACAGAACAGAGCAAGTTTCGGAGATCGTAGCCATTACGAGTTAACTTCGGCTGCATGAGGACGATCAAAATGTTGCAATTGTCGAACGCCAAGTGAGACTGACAGTGCAGGAATATCGATTGGCTGGGACTCTGTTCCCGATTCTGAATCTCCTAGCCGAACTCTACTTCGTGTACACAACAAGCCTTTCTGCTTCTGCAGACATGATGCGCCACACAATTATATTAGATTGATGTATAATTAATCCTCAAGTGGGCTAATGTAGGCCCAACCCAACGCCATGGTAGCATGCCTTGTTAAAAAGATTTCATGCTTCGACGCTTACGCACGGAGGAGAGAGCAGAATATTATTAATAAGTATTGTTATGCACCACTAGTAGCCGTCGTTAGCGCGACCTAGGCGCATGAGATGTGGGCTGTGGCAACTCGCAACCAAACTAAAAAAAATGTCCTTCTTTTGCCCGTGATGGCAAAGATCCTCGTCAGCAATGCGTGCCATTTTTGTGTAGGTTTGCTAGAATCTCGACTTCCATGGGTAAGTGAACTTTCGTCGATATTGCTATAGAAGCGGGGTCCAGCCAGGGGATGACAGTGTGAAATGGTTCAACTTCAACTGTCTTCAGAACCTTCTGTCTGGGCCAGATCGACATTCTGTCATCTGTCAACTCCAACCTGTCAGTAATCATCAAATCAACAACCATGCTCATGTTTGAGTTTCAGCACTTCTCGGCGGTCTCCGTCCCCGCGGACTTCCATCCTGGTCCGCTGGTGCTGGACTGTGTCCCGTCTCTTAAGACTTGACGAACGAGAATCTCCACAATCGAGATCCGCGACGACGAATGCCCACTTTCCTCTTCTGGCCTCGGTAGTATGTTCAGACTTGACAAATATGGTGGCTATAGTCAATGGCTATATTACCTCTGCCGCTCACCCGCCGTACTCCATAATTCCATTATGTAGATACCAGTTTCGGCTTGCGACCTTACCAGTAGAGGATAGATAATGCGCCGCTAATTTCCTTCAACCATCGCAAATTCGTAACTGCTTTCGAAACTGCCACCCCTGCATGTGTTGACGCTCTAGCGGGACTACTTACGGGACAAGATCCACATCAACGAACCCCAGCTTCAGCCTGCAGAGAGAGCAGAGGGCATGTCTATGCTGTTCCTGGCAAGTTCGTTCCAGGCTCGATCTCGCTTACAATCCTTGGCAGCCCTCTAAACGTAGGTAGTGCGTAGCAACCTAATTGGCTTTGGCCCTGACGAGATCGATAGTTACCCCGGGCCAGGAGGATTTTGTCATGTGAAACTGAAAAATAAGGAAACGAAGTTTATGTCCTTGGGGTACCTGTGTCTTGCTCTGCTGTTCGTCCAATCCCAAATATGCTTTGCCCCTTTTGGTGTGCACTATTGTATAGGTTACCATTATTAGCAGCTACATGACTACTAGAGCACTCAATGTCACTGGTCCTCAAAATGAATCTCCACTGCTCTCAAACCTAGTCAACCACTGTTGGCTCGATTCGGTATTTCGCGAGTCGGAACCAAACTTGATGGCAAACGCTAATCGCCACGCTGACAGCCAAATATTTGAGTGTCGGAATTGACTTTGCCCTGTGCTATGCGGCTATTATTGTGGAGTAGGTTGTTTGCTGTAACGGGGGTGTTGGTAACTAGTAACCTGGGTCTTTTTTCCCTTAAGAACGACCATGATCCACATTTAATCATTGAGAGCTTCTGGGACTTCGAGATTGACTCCTACTTCCAGGTTGGACCCTCCTGCTCATATCGTCACCCCGTCATTGAGATCATGCGATCAGGTTTACAGTCATGAGGAGTTATCCATAGGCGACTTGTCAACTGCCTGTCATCATGCTGCATTTTCCAGATCGCAGCGCGTCGATCTTTATCGTCACTATTGTCTTTTTGGGTCTGTCTTTCATCGCTGTCTGCTTACGATGCTTTGTCCGGTTGAGGTTGGTCAAGGCTTTTGGGTGGGATGACACTATCATGGTGGCCGCGATGGTATGCATGTCTCCATGCTCTGTGAGAACTTCAGACTCATTCCCTCACAGGCCTTGAACGTTTTGTTCGCCTTATGCGGTATAACAGGCTCCCTAT